TCTCAGGAGGAGTGCACAGGATCGATAATCCCTGCGTTGAAGCTAGGCGGATCTCTAGCTCCATCGAGCGGACCCTTCCGGCTTGCTTGTGTGCCTCGGCACGGAACGAAATTTTGTGCCAACACATAATAATAAATCAACTAGGAACACTAAAGTTCACACTACACTACTAGACTTGACTTGACTTAACTTGACCCGTGCTACTAACATCTTATTACATAGAAAGGAACTCCAACACCTATGGGCAAAATTCATGGGGAAGCTCCTCATTGATCCTTGGTAGGTTGATGCACACCCTTTGCTCGTCTATCACTTGTCGATATCTCTTAAGGGTCGCCTCCTGTGTCTTCAACTGATCTTTCAGCCATCGATTCTTGTCTACTAATTCATAGGCATAGTGCACCATCACTTGAGTAGTGGGATCCATGCCTTCAGGGTCCATTATTGCCCATCCCAAGTTAGGGTGTTGGCGAGGGAGGAAGACATATTGATCTTCCTTCATATCATCAAAGCGACAACCATGGAGACCCATGCAGGCTACAGCGGTTGCATCTTATATGCTATCTTCCAAGGTGGCATAGTGAGCGTGATGTGCATAGTTCGAATCCAGCTGGTATGCTTCCTTCTCTCCATCTTGGATGGAGATGCACACCCTGGTCTTCAATAAGTGTCCTCCAGAGGGTGCGTATTTCTTCGCAGACATACTCCACAGCTGCGTCCCAATCAGCATAGTAGGTCTAAAGAATCCCCATAAGTCAATGGTGTGAGACGAAGGATTCACACCCTAGCTTGTACTAGACCTTCATAGTCCATCCCATGGCAGGGGTAGGCTGATCTTCTTGAACGGCGTCCTCCTCCTCATCATCATCAGACAATAGAATGACCTTCACTTCTTCAGATTCTTCTTCTTCGGGCTCTTCCTGGAATGGCTCCAGCGTAGGTGCAGGTGCTGGCAAGTCAACTTATTGCTCCTGGGGTTCCTCCTCACGTGGCTCCATGGACTCATACAAGCCACGAGGCGGGTAGTAGCCTCCGGTGCTGATGCGAGCGGTCTTATTGGCACGAGGCATCTACAGAATTAGATTTAGTTAGAATAGAAGCAAAAAATTTATAACAGAGTGAGGCAAAAGAAGCATAAAATTTAGCAAATAACAAAGGTGAGATGGGAAGCATAAAATGAGTGAAGCAAAAGAGGCTAAAACAACCATTGCTAACTAGGCTTGCGTCCTACAGTCAACACGGCTCTGATACCAATCTGTCACACCTGATTTTAAGGATAAAATGTGATGCATAATCTTATGTGCGCCTAGAGATCAGTCACACACATAAGCCGATAAATTATAAATAGTACAATCACAAGTGTTTATTACATCACGAATAATAAGACATAGTTTTCACATAAATGTAGCGGAAGTATAAAGAAAAATCTCTCGCGGAAGCTTCATATCACAGGGACATCAACTGGTTGACCACAAGTCTAGTAATCCTTAAGAAAGTCATTATTACCATAGCCATCTGTTACCCATCCGGGATTTTTATCCAAATAATGAAAATAAACAAGCGTAAGTACATGTCGTACTCAACAAGTGTAACATGGGGTTCATGAGGTTCAAAAGGCTTGACACAGGTTTAACAGCATTCAGCTTTTAGTTGTCACAATTTTAGCATAAGAGTAGCAACAAGTTGTTCCAATTCCATATAAACACATGATCAATGTAAACATGAATAATGATTAGCATAAATAGATAATTCTTAGTGGTCAACTATTCCATAAGGGTTCCAAGGCTGCTCGTGACCGTGAGCACGGCTGATATGCTAGTTTTACACTCTACAGAGGTTGTACACTTTCACTGTGAGTCATGATACCCATATGCCTGGGTTAATTACTCCCAAAACACTTCTATGGTGAGCAGGCAGGGTTCACTATGAAGCCTTTAAAAGGTTCGTCTAACAAGTTAGGGTCATTAGATTCACTCGGCAAACAGATATAGGAACCCCCTGTCGAATGACACAATTCCATCACGGCTATACACATAAGAGTATAGGCTGTCCTATACCCAATTCGGCAAGTCATTCTTACGCCAATAAACGTAATTTCTAACAAGCTAGAAAAGGTCCTCATACTGAGCTAAAGCCAGAGCCATGTAGCCCTCACAGTTGTACTGTAAGTCCTGGATGATCACTTACAGATATGTCCTTAAGGAGAGGAATCTAAAGCATTTAGAAAGTAGCTAAATACTCCAGACTTCTATTTCCAAGTTGCTAAAAAAGTCATGTTTTAATATTTATTGCATATACCATTAGTCAAGTTATAAGATCATGGTTTAGTTGAGCACTAGCAAAGCTACCTAATGCATATCCCATAGGAGACAAGGTATAAGTTCAATTATAGAAAATCCTTATCAAGGTGACACATGCAACATGAATTAAATGTATTAAAGTCAATAGGAAACAAGGATAATCCCTTACTATACTTGCCTTGGACAAAGTGCTCCTGCTGTTCCTGCTTGTTAAAGTAGTATTCTTGATCACCCACGAATTGCTCACCGTCTATACTCGATAATCACAGCAACATACAAGCATCCAGAAGCAATCATGCATAGCAAACAAAAGCTATAGATTAGAACAGTACACCAATAGCATAAAATCAAGATGAAAAGTTTGTAAAATGATTCTACGTCTTGCTACGATCACACAGACGTAAAGATCACAAAAATCAGAGCTATAACGGAGAAGTTATGAATTAAACAAGATTTCCTTTTATAAAATAATAGATTAAATCTAACCTCGAATTTCAAAAGTTGAAAACATGCTTAACAATAGTATGAACTTGTAGAGTACGCAATTATGAATCTAACATAACTTGAACGGGTCAAATCAGAGCTAAAACATGGAAGTTATGGCCTAAAGAAGATAGGGACAAAACTGTAAATAGATGAAAACGTATTTTGGATCTAAACCGAAAGAAATTACGCTTCTAAAAGAAGAAGGTGCAATCTGTGATTATGCTTGGGACTGTGGGTTCTATAATTAAAAACCTAGGGGGCTCTTTAGAAAATAAGCCAGGCGAAGGGGTACGGGCTGATCTCCACCGTTGGATTAGATTTGAGCGATCTGGATTAGAAACAGGGAGAGAAAAGAGAGGGTTGGCCGACCGGCGGCAAGTCAAGGCGGCAGCGCCATGGCCAGAATTGGCCGGTGCTCGTCGATACGATGGCTCTAACCACTATCGGGCACAGGAAAAGGACGGGAAACAAGAGGAAGGCACTGTGAATCCATCTAGGGGATCATAAGGGGCTTCGACGCCACGGGGACGAGATAGAGCTCGGTATGGCAGATCGGGTTCGCCGGAGATCTACGGTGACGCGGATACAAGCACACAAGGCAAGGGAGAGGGCATGAGAGACACATGCAGGTTACTCACCTTCTCGCGGAGCTCGGGGATGTGGTCGCGGCGGCGGCGGAGCAGCGGAGCGGTGAATCGACCTCAGCGGTGGATCTCCTATGGCTCTGCTAGGGCTCGAAGGCGTACGGCTGGCTCTCGGCTTCTATGCGGAGGCGGCACGGGCGCGGTTGCTACTTATGAGGGTGGTGGGGGCTTGCGGTGCACGCATATTGGGGCGGAGTAAGGGCGAGCGTGGACGCTTGGCCGGAGTCGTGGCCAGCTCTGACATTAGCTAGAGAAAGGAGAAGACCCTGCCGCGCGGGCCCGGAGTGTCAACGAATGAAGAAGCGCGGCCGGGCTGCAGTCGAACCAAGAGAGAGGGAAGCGGCTCGGCTGGCCTTGCTGGGCCGGCCTGCTTGTGCGGGCCGCGCAAGAGAAAGGGGAAGGATGCTGCGGCTCTGCTGGCGCTGGGCTCCGCCAAAATAGAGAGAGAGAGAGAAAAGAAGAATAGAACTCCTTTCTATTTTCTCAACACAATTTCAAATCCAATTTAAACTCAAATTCAAATTCTTTTGTAAATTTCAATCAAACCAAAGTATCACAACATAAATATGCAGCAGCATGGATGCACACACATATATGTAGACCTATATTTAATTTTATTTTAATAAAGTTATTATTTTTCTAAATTTAAATGCTCACAAAATACATAATTAAATCAAATTAACTATTTTAAATCGATGTAAATTTTAGGTTGTTACCATTCCTGAAAATGCTTCTGTTTTCAGAGATGGTGCAGGTAATAGTTGTCTCTGAAAATGCATTTGTAGAGGCGGTTTGGATCTAGGGCCACTGCGACTCTGCCAAAAAAAACCTCCATTGCTACAAATCCTTTCTATAGTGGTGATTTTGGGACCGAGGTAACTTGTCCGTGTTTGACTTGACTATTGACTCACTCAAATCCTATACTCTTATAAAGCTAAACCCCACTAAAGATTTCTCTCAACATGCAGGCTATATACATCAACAATTCACTAGAACTTGCAATTATAGCCAACTAACACATGTAATTATGATAGTTATCTCTTCATCCACTAACATGCATTTAATTGTCTACATCGATGTGTCAAACCATTCACCAAAATTAATTTAAGATAGTTTCATTCATATAACTATAAATATAAATAGTCTAATTTCTTTTTAAATTATCTGAAATTCCGCAGCAACGCACGGAGTATTCTCCTAGTAAAATAATGTAGCTGAGGAACAAATTGTAACTAATACCCATCCGGCCGGCCGTGTGTGTATGTATCAGACTCTCCAGATGCATTCTGTACAGTATACTATGTATATATCGCGTTCTTGTTACCCATTAGTCAGAAGCGCCGGCTTTTTATACGGCAAAGTGTAACCAGCAACCGCTGCCGTTTACTTGTCACCAGATGACATCATATCGTTAGGTACGTAGCTGCTCGGCGTTTACTTATATCTTTATAATCAACAGATTATTATGTGAAAAGGGCCCGTAAATGATCTCATAAGCACTACTAGTATTCCTATCGAAAGCCTTCGTGTGCCATTTTATTTGCCTGGACAAGAATAGCAGCACTCGGATATGTCGTCGTCGGATGTAATAACCGGCGGAAATATCGCAGTAGACATCGGTATGCAGATGAATTCAGTTCATCTATCTATCAGTTCAGCAATCAAGTTAGTCAGCGAGATTGCTTACTCTCTGTTGATTGATTGGTAACCATTCATGTCATTTGCAATTTCCAGTGTCAGTGATCACGGGCGGGATCGTGGTCATAGTGGTGTCAGTGCTCATCTACAAGTGCTTCAAGCTGCGCATGATCCGCAAGTATGGCGGCGACGACCTCCGGCTGCCACCGGTGCTGCCGCTGGTGGAGACGCGGAGCACAGCAGCAGTTCCACCGATCGGAAGAAGCGGCGGCAAGCACAGCAGCAGCAGCGGCTACGGCGGCACCGAGGACGTCGTCAAGGACCGGCCGGTGAGATTCAGCTCGTCACAGCTGCAGGAATTCACCAGCAACTACAGCGAGAGGCTCGGCGCCGGTGGCTTCGGGGTGGTGTACAAAGGCCAGATCCAGCTCCCCGGTGACGGAAGCAGCCTGCTGGTGGCCGTGAAGGTCCTCGGGAGCAACATGGGGCGGCGCGCCGAGGAGCAGTTCATGGCGGAGATCGGCACCATCGGGAGGACGTCGCACATCAACCTCGTCCGGCTCTACGGCTTCTGCTTCGACGCCGACCTCAAGGCGCTCGTGTACGAGTTCATGCCGAACGGCTCGCTTGACCGCCACCTCTTCCACGGCGGCGGCGACGGCGACCAGCAGCTGAGGTTCGACAAGCTCTACAACATCGCCGTCGGCACGGCGAAGGCGGTCCGGTACCTCCACGACGAGTGCGAGCGGCGGATCATCCACTACGACATCAAGCCCGGCAACGTGCTCCTCGACGAGGCCTTCTGCCCCAAGGTGGCCGACTTCGGGCTGGCGAGGCTGTGCGAGCGGGAGAGGACGCACGTGACTACGACCGGCGGCGGCGGGCGCGGCACGCCCGGGTACGCCGCGCCGGAGCTCTGGATGGCGGCGCCCGCCACGCACAAGTGCGACGTGTACAGCTACGGCATGCTGCTGTTCGAGATCCTGGGCCGGCGGAGGAACTACACCGACGTGGAGGCCGCCGAGAGCGCGGAGCGCTGGTACCCGCGGTGGGTGTGGCAGCGGCTGGAGCGCGGGGAGATGGAAGCGCTGGTGGCGCGGGCTCTGGTGGCCGACGACAGGGTTGGTAAGGAAGCGAGGAAGAAGGTGGAGCGGCTGTGCGCGGTGGCGCTGTGGTGCGTGCAGTACTGGCCGGAGGACAGGCCGTCGATGAGCGGCGTCGTGCGGATGCTGGAGGCCGACGAGGACGTGGCCGCGCCGGCCGTCAGCCCCTTCGCCCATCTCGATTCCGACCTGCTGTCGTCGCGAACTTCAACTGCGGACATGACCACCACGTTCGGCTCCGCTGCTGCTTAGATACATACATGTTTTACTTCTTCCATTTTCCTGTATATATGAATATTTGCTCTAGCTTGTTGTTTTATTTGTTTTTGCCTTGCACATGTACTGTATATCCCTTCTAGTTGTTTGCTTTATTTATTACTATTACTACTTCCGAAAAGAAAAACTCTCGGAGTAACACGGCTTATTGTAATTTTTCAAATTTACCTGGCCACCTCAAGTGAATTCAGTTGTAATCCTTCATTTGCTAATCACGGTGCATAACAACCAAGCACAGCGACATACAAAACTAAGAAAAATGTTCTCCCATTTAAAAACTATTCTCCAGCTACATTCTCTAAATTAAAGCCAGCTTCTGCAGGCTCTTCTATCTAGAGCGTGAGCTCAGTCAAACCTGCGACATTTCTTCTGCAGGCTCTTTCTACGCAGCAGCCTGCACACGCACAAATTAACAAAGGAAGAACCGAAGAAGGTTCCGTCTGGGAGCTACGGAAGCTTTTGCGTCAGCCGTCAGCATCGGGTAGTATATAAAAGAGCAAAATGCAGGCAGGTCCATCAACCGAATACGCAGATACAAGGGAATTATAACCAAAAGGCGCAATCCTGAAAGCGTAAACGTTGATCTGCGCAAAGAAATAAGAAGGCCCATTCAACTGTTTTTTGCATGGCTATACTATGATATGCCCGCTCCACTTAGGAACATTTTTTTATTCTTTCTTTCTATTTTATCCTTGATGTTGGCCCAAGTGTGTGTCACACTATCCAAATATTATCCTGGTTTACCTTTGCTATGAACCTTGGTCTAATATGCAGTCATGTTATCTTGTTCATGCACCAATTAGATATTTTTACACCATGCCTTCATTTGAAAAAAATATAAATAACGATACCCTGAATACTTTCAGGTGAAATGCTACAACGGTATTTCTGTGCACTTGCGGAGTTAAATATGTAATCATTAAAATTTACCCGTTGACATTTCCTGGTGTCATTGCCTTTTCTGGAGGTGATGCTAGGAAGCGCCAACAAGCATTTCTGGCGTCATTGTCAGGGATAGATTCTATCTCTATTCTTGATAATGACGCTAAGAAATGCCAACACATGGCCAAGTCCGTCGTTGAGTTCTGGCCAAAGCGCGCGGCGAGGAGCATGAGGCACCAAGTTGCGGTGAACACGCTCGTCTCGTGGCCCGCGAAGTAGATGTTCTTGCAGTTGTCCACCACAAAGTCGCCCGCGCGTGGCTGGTCCTGGCTGTTGTCGATGATGGAGCCCAGGAAGTTGTGGCCCAGTGCTGGCGCTGGCCCCACCGCCGTCTTGCGCTCGCTCACCAGCTACAGGATCAGCGACCTGATCTCGTGCGTGAGCCCATGTCGATCCGGGCCTTCCTCGTAGTCCCAGTCAACGCAATGGCAGCACACACCAATGCCCCGATCCTCTCGTCCACGCAGTCATGCAGCGTGCCCTTGGAGGATGGGAACTCCTACTTCGCCGGCTGCGCATCCAAGACACGGGCCGCGGAGGCGATGAACGGGTGCGCCACGAGCTGCGTGCACGAGCGATAGGCCGCGGAGGTATGCCAGCCTGCGCGCCACGTCCCCAGCATAGGTGCGGATGTCACGCTCCCTGAGGCGGCCCCTGCTCCTGGCGGCCTCGTCAGCGAGTGACCTGCAGGTATGGTGTCGATCTTCTCCAACAGTGCCACCACCTATGACATATCGGATTGGTTGTTTGGGTTTCCGCCCCAACACCGTGTCATGATGTCCGCCATCCCCGATGATAGCACCTCAGAATGTACAGCTGGATGCTCTCCATGCAACGTCCATTGATCAGAGCGCAGTGGTGACGGTGCTGACCAATCAAACATGTAATGTGCGCGTGCAGGGCAAGCACACCAGCTTGACGACATGGTAGGAGCGAGATGTGGGCGACGCTGTAGTTGGGGTAGGTAGGCCATGCTCAGCAGTAGGTCTCCCACAGCAGGATGCCGAATATGAACACGTTACTTGTGATGTCGTATAGCTTCCCCTGCAGCACCTCTGGCGCCGTGTACCCCAGCGTGCCCGTCTGCCCTATTACCTCACTGCTCTGCGCCTGCACGCGCGCCACGCTGAAGTCGGTGATCTTTAGCATCCGCTTTCGTTCTAGCAGCATGTGCTCTACACATCATGGTGCATGATCTTCTTTGAGTGCAGGTAGCTTAGCCTGCATGCATGCATATCCCGTCACGACTGCACGCGCCATCAGCGATGACCATACAGCTAGCACTTCTACAGCAGCTGCATGCAAGTTAACACTCATGCATGATCATGAGCATGACGTAACTCACCCTCTAGCAAGATCGAGCGCTAGCCGGACGACCTACCTGTAGGAAAGCTTGTTGAGCCGGTGGTTGTACAGCAGCGTCTTGAGCGTGCCGCCGTGCTGGAACCCGATCACGATGATGCAGCACTCATTCGGCGTGGTACGACCACTGCAAGAGGAGGAGGTCGACCCCTTCATGGGGATCTTCAGCTGGGATGACCCCATCGACGCGCCCACGAACAGCATGTGCTGGCAAGTTTCAGACAAGAAACGAAGGGATTCAGACGTGCATGACGGATTCCAAGATTGCCTTGAATTTTGCTTACGTAACCTTAGTGACGTTGGTGTGGTCAAGCTTCTGCCACACACTGACCTCCTTTTCGAAGGCCTCGTGGTGCTTCGCCATCGTGTCCTACCCATTATGCCCCCAATCCAGGACCTTCAGTGGTGCATCCCAATACAATGCAATATGTCAGGGATAACCAAAGTCTAGAACCTTAACAACATCCAAATACAATGTTTTAGAGATATAATATCAAACGACTTACTCTTCATCCTAAAACAACTACATTATTAAAATTAAATTAACTGAGGTCTCAGTTGACGAGAGCTAGGCTAGGTGACACTGCGGTTGAAGCCGAAGCAGGAGCACCCCTGAGTGACGTCGTCGATTGGCGTCATGCCGCCCTTGCCACTGTTGGTGTTGATCTTCTCCAGCAGCTCCACCACCTCTGACATCTTCGGCCTGTTGTATGTGTTCCCATCCCAACACCGTGTCATGATGTCCGCCATCGCCTGAGGACAGCACCACGGAATATCCGGCCGAATGCCCTACACACAACGTGCACTAATCAGAGCGCAGTGGTGACGGTGCCGACCAAGCAAACATGTAATGCACGCATGCGTGCACGGCAAGCACACCAGATTGACGACGTGGTAGGAGATGTCGGTGAGGCTGTAGTTGGGGTAAGTCATGGAACAGCAGTAGGCCTCCCATAGCAGGATGCTGCAGCTGTACACATCGCACTTGTGGTTGTACGCTTCCTTTGCAGCACCTCCGGCGCCATGTAGCCCAGCATGCCCGTTTGCCTCGTCACCTCGCAGCTCTGCGCCTGCACGCGCGCCACGCCGACGTCAGCGATCTTTAGCGTCCACCTCCTAACCAGCAGCCGTATTGACATCGCAGTTGTATGATCTTCTTTGAGTGCAGGTAGCTCAGCCTGCATGCATGCTTATGCCGTCATGACCGCGCGCGCCACCCTATTCGCTTGATCGTTTCTGTGGTTTATAAGCCAGCTGATGTTGTTTTGTTGTGAGAGAAAAATACTGTATCATAGCTGATAAATGACTGATACATGCAGTGCAAGTGGAAGCACTTCTACATCAGTTGCATGAAAGTTACCATAGATTCATGAGCATGACGTACTCACCCTCTAGCGAGATCATGCACGAGCCGAACGACCTTCCTGAAGGAAAGCTTCTTGACCTGGTGGTTGTATAGCATCGTCTTGATCGTGCTGCCATGCTGGAACTCGACCACGACAACGCAGCACTCGTTCGGCGTGGTGTGACTGTCGCAGGAAAAGGAGGTCGACCCCTTCTTGGCGATCTTCAGCTAGGATGTCGCCATCGAGGCGCCCAGGAACTTCATGCTGACAAGTTTTAGACGAGAAACGAAGGGATTTAGACGTGCATGATGGATTTCTAGATGGCCTTGAATTTTGCTTACGTAATCTTAGTGACGTTGAGGTGGTCAAGCTTCTGCTAGATGGCGACCTCCTTTTCAAAGGCCTCGCGGTGCTTTGCCATCGTGTCCTGCCCATCATGCGCCCAATCTAGGACCTTCATTGCATCAAAATATTGTGCAATATGTAAGGGATAACCCAAATCTAGAACCTTAATAGCATCCAATACAATGTTTTAGAGATATAATATCAAACGACTTACTCTCTGTCCTAAAATAACTTCATTATTAATTAAATTAACTAGGTCTCAACTGACGAGAGCTAGGCTAGGCGACGCTGGGGTTGAAGCCGAAGCAGGAGCACCCCTACGCGACGCCGTCGACGGGCATCATGCCGCCCTTGGCACTGCTGGTGTCGATCTTCTCCAGCAGCGTCAGTGCGTCACCACCTCTGACATCTCTGCCCGGTTCTCTGGGTTCCCATCCTAACACCGCGTCATGATGTCCGCCATCGCCCGAGGACAGCACCTCAGAATGTCCGGCCGGATGCCCTGCACACAACGTCCACTGATCAGAGCACAGTGTTGATGGTGCTGACCGAGCAAACTTCTAATGTGTGCATGCACAGCAAGCGCGCCACATGTGGTCGTACACATCGCACTTCTGGTCGTACGGCTTCCCTTGCAGCACCTCCAGCACCATGTAGCCTAGCGTGTGCCTGTCTGCCCCATCACCTCGCAGATCTGCGCCTCCACGCACCCCATGCAGATGATGTCGGCGATCTTCAGAGTCGGCTTTTGGTCCAGCATCATGTTCTGTGCCTTCACGTCACGACGATGCACGATCCCCTTTGAGTGCAGGTAGCTCAGTCTGCATGCTTGCTTATTCGGTTGCGACCGCGCGCACCATTAGCGACGACCATACCGTAGTGGTGCAAGCACTGCAGATGCAACACTTCTATATTAGCTGCATGCAAGTTACTACTCATGCATGAGCATGACATACTCACCCTATAGCGAGATCGAGCGCG